GGGTTTGATGATGATGATACAATAGTCTGTTACATGGAGTTTCTAGCCAGTGTGATGAGAAGAGAGTGCATGTGCCTTTAAGTATTGGCAAAGAAGAGATGAAATTCAGAAGTCATTGAAATGATAACGTTGTAGGAAAAACCGGGTTTTTGTCACAGGACCAGGAAGGATTAGGCTTGCAGACACTTTGAAGAGCAAGGGGAAACCAAATTTATTGGGTAAAAAGGAAAAAAACTCAGCAAAGTGACAGGGGTACCTGTTAACAGGTCTGCATCTCATAGATTGAATCCCAAGTTACCACACAGGAGCCCCAGAGGCCAGGCTCCTCCCCCTGCAAATGGGGCAGGCACTTCCCAAGGCTCCACTCTGTCCTCCTGGTGGGCAGGCTGGCTGGAGATTCTCGGAGACCTGCAGTCCCTTTTTTCAGCCTTCAGGCTGTTTTAGGCTTGAAGGCTGGGTTTCAGGGGAAAGGGAGGTGGGCCTTGTCTGCCTCCTGTTTCTGACAGTAATTTAAGCCAGAAAAAATCCAATGTCAACAGATCAACTATGAAGAGAATTTAATAAGTGATAATTATACATAAATGTATGTTGCTGTTATATGCTAGCAATAACCAGTTAGGAAAAGCAGCCTAAATGACGGTGCTTTACAAATTTGAATCTTACTTACCCTGTGGTTTGAGGAATCCTTTGGAATTCTGAAGACAAAAATCAAAATCAGAAGTATGTTAAACTTCTGGACGGTGGATGAGTCAGACAATGATTAAAAAAAAAAAAAAGTTATCAATATTTCCTAGTATGCACACAGTAAAGTAAAACTCTCTCAAAATTGCCTCAGTGAAACTAAAGGAGAAAGGAAACCTGAAAGATTTCTGGCAAGTAAGTAACAGTAAATGGGTTTAAGTTTAAAGAGCGTATAATTACTAGCTGAAGGGTTTTTTTTTAAAGTGTTATGTGTTTTATTTAGCCTGTCTATATTCTTTTATTTTAATGCATATGGAAATACCTGTAGATGTTTTATTGCATTTGCTTGAGAGTTTAGGCATCAAAACTCTTTTGGCCCACATTTTTCCATAGCAGTGTTTCTTATTCTTGGATGTGTATCACAGTCACTTGGGGAGCCTTTAAATATTCTGGTACCTGAAACTAGTTAAAATCAGAATCACTGGCAGTGGGATTCAGACATCAGCATTTTTAAGAGTTCCTCAAATGATTCCCTTGTGTTGCCAAGTGAAGAACTACTGTTTTATAAAGATTTGTTGTGACATTGCTGAGGCTTCCCTTTCCTCCTTTATTCTTATTGTTAGTTTTAAATGAAATTATATATGTGAGTGGCCTACCCTGTACCTAGCACAAGGCTTGCCTGTGATTGGAGTTTAGTAAATATGCATATTGTATTTTGATTCCTACTTAATTGGTCTGAGGATCACTTCATACTGAAACATAAGGAAATAAACAGATGTTCTGTTGCTCAGATCTAGGCTTGAAATACTTTGTCTAATTGCTTAAGTTGTGCATTTTTGTCAAGTTTACTCTGAGAGATTTAAAGCACATTGCAATAAAGGCATACTAGGGTAAGAATTCCAAGTAATAATGGTCAAGGACTAATGGAAAGAAAAATAATTATATCAGGAAACCTAGTTTATAATTGCTAACTTGGAATTTTAATTTGTTCACTGAGACATGTATACCATCATTCTTATCTCGTGAAGTCTAGGTCCCAGTGTTTCTAGACATAGCAATGTAAAATAGTTCCTTTACTTAGACGCTCATCATTTAGAAATTGTATCCCAAGCTTTTCAAAGGACAGTTTGGGTTTCACAGTGGGTACAATTTGATGATTGAGTTTGTATTGCTGCGCTGTATTGATTAAGTGGGTTCTGACTGGTATCTCCTGGACTCATACTCTTCATTAAGCCAGAGTTGGGAGGAGAATTTATATCCAACATATTTTAGAAACTTAGATATTTTAGATATATTTCAGACATTGACAGTTACATGTAGCAAAACAATTAGACATCAGAAAACAAGGGAATTTTTGAACCAAAGATATTTTAATTAAACTAAGAAATTTTTGAAGACCGCATGGTCAAATACATTGTTGTAGATAAATTTTCCTTTTAAGATTTTTGGTGTGTTATATACCTAGTGTATTTATGTGTCATCTACCAAGTTTCATGGAAAGGAAGCCTGAATATATTATTATTACAAAAATGTTCTACATGTCTAAGTGACAAAAATTAAATTCAAATTAAGCAATTATTTATTTTTCTAGGATGGAATATACTTTTTAGCAAAATTCCTTATGAAATTGTTACCAGAAAGGGGTCCTGATCCAGATCCCAAGAGAGGGTTCTTGTATCTTACGCAAGAAAGAATTTGAGTTGAATCCTTAGACTGAAGTGAAAGCAAGCTTATTAAGAAAGTAAAGGAATAAAATAATGGCTATTTCATAGGCAGAGCAGCCCCTAGGGCTGCTGGCTGGCTATATTTATGGTTATTTCTTGATTATATGCTAAACAAAGGATGAATTGTTCTTGAGTTTTTTGGGAAGGGGTGGTAAATCCCTGGAACTGAGGATTCCTCCCCTTTTTAGACCATATAAGGTAACTTCTGGATGTTTCCATGGCATTTGTAAACCATCATGGTGCTGATGGGAGTGTCTTTTATCATGCTAATGTATTATTATTAGCATGTAATGAGGAGTGGGGACGACCAGAGGTCACTTTTGTGGCCATCTTGGTTTTGGCAGGTTTTAGCCAGCTTCTTTACCACAACCTGTCTTATCAGCAAGGTCCTTATTACCTGTATCTTGTGTCAATGCCTAACGTCCTGGGAACGCAGGCCAGTAGGTCTCCACCTTATTTTATCCAGCCCCTATTCAAGATGGAGTTGCAGTAGTTCAAAGGCCTCTGACAAAATAACTTTACAGTAAATAGTTTCTGAAAAAATTACATTTGGGCCTATAGGCTTAAAAAGTGAATAATGACATATGCCACGTAAGGAAAATGAAAGATTTTGCTTCACTAAATTGCTGGGTGAAATTGCTTATTAATGTAGTGAAATATGATAGAAAACTTTGTTTCAAGGAATAAAAATCTGAAAGAACAAGAAATGTGTAAGTAGCTTCCCAGAAGCTAAAATCTTGAACCGCTTTTTGAAGACTAAGTATTTTATGGGTTGAAGCATATGTCAAAACACTATCATTACCAACAGAGGGAACTGATACACACTTCAACTCGAACCATTCTGTCTTAGAGTAATAATTTTAAAACCAAGCAATACTGAGCCACTTGCTTATTAAAATCCGATGTGTGGACTTTTAAAGTGAATCTGGTTGTTAACACTCCATTTATCTGGTGTTCCTCCAGAGTTGGGAATTCTGGGTAATTATCTTTTACTAATAACTGAAGCCTCTGAAGGTTTCTAATTTTATCTTAACCATTTCAATTGAAATATTTCTTAAATGATCACATGCTTTCTTAGAGGGCAAGAGTAAGAGGTTGGCATATGGAAGTAATGAAAAGAGAACAAAACCAGGAATTTTCTGATCTATATTCTGGTTCTTTTGATGTCATTAACTTGAGAAAAACTAACCTTGAATGTTATTCAGAGCTTGGAGACATCAGTATTTATCTCAAAATTGAATGCAGGCTAGCTGCTTAGAAGTTATAGTATTGGACACTTATTTAAGCTAATACATAAGATGAGATGTCAGTTGTAGATCAGTTTGTCCTTATACCAGATGGCCACAGAGGGGTATACTTTTCTAATTTCTGAGTCCATTTTTTAGAATAATCTTCTTAATTTGGAATAATTTTAGGTTTACAGAAAAGTAACAAAAATAGTACAAAGAGTTCCCATGTGCCCCTCACCCAGTTTCTCCTAACGTTAACATTGTATGTTACATTTTTCGTTTTTTCTTTTTGAGATGGAGTCTTGCCCTGTCACCCAGGCTGGTGTGCAGTGGCGCCATCTCAGCTCACTACGGCCTCATCCTCCCAAGTACCTGGGACTATAGGCATGTACCACCACACCAGGCTAATTTTTGTATTTTTAGTAGAGAAGGGGTTTCACCATATTGGCCAGGCTGGTCTCGAACTCCTGACCTCATGATCCGCCCACCTCTGCCTCTCCGAGTGCTGGGGTTACAGGCAAGAGCCACCGTGCCTGGCCCTACATTTTTCAGATATATACATAGTACATTTATCAAAACTAAGAAACCAACATTGGTGCATTATTATTAACTAAACTCCAGACTTTTATGTAGATTTCACCACTTTTTCTGGTAATACTGATAGTTCTAGGATTCAATCCAGAATATCACACATTAGCCTGGTTCCAGGTGTGTTTTATGTGTGTGTATGTATGTATGTATGTATGTGCATACCACAGGCATAGAAGAAGCCAAAAGAGGCCAAAGTGTTTTCTGTTGTTACTGTTATCTTTAGGGAGTGGACTTATGGGTTATTTTTTGTGAAGTTACACGTTTTCCGTTTTCCAGATATCCCAGTGGGAGAAGAGCCCTTTTTTTAATTTCAACCAGAAGCATATACAGGAATTTAAATAGTATTGCGATACAGGGTAGGGCAAACATTGTCTACTCTCTCGATCCTGAGGGCATCACTGGGTTGCCACTGTGACCTACCCCGTTTTCCTAAGGAAATGTATTTAAATGTTCTTCAGCATGTTCTGCTCCTTTTAGAATACTTTCTACTAGGTTTTGATGCTTTAAATGAATGAGTTCCCCAGCTCTTGAGAAACAGCTAATCAGACAACATGTTCAGGGGGCCCTAGGGAACTGAAGTTAGACTAATTGAATGAAATTTTCTTTGACAAATTTTTCTACCATGAGACTGATATATGATATAGAATCTGTGTAAGAAGAGAGGCAGAAGCAATTTTGTTACTATGGAAGAGATTGCAAAGAACTTTTGTGAATTGCAGGTAGGAGAGACTAGTTTTGCTTTTTTGACAGTCTTGCTCCTCTCTGTATCCCACAGCTGGCCCTGAAGGACCCTGTTCATACAGTGTCACTGCAGCAGTTCATCTACGAGAAGCTGAAGGCACAGCAGGAGTTACTAGGAGAACAAGGTTTCCAGTCCCTCATGGAAACAGTGGACACAGAGATTGTCACCCAGCTACAGGAGTTTTTGCAAGGATTCTAAGAGCACATAATATGTTGCTGCCTCCCCTTTCAGAAATAAGCTGAATAACCCAGCCTGCCGTTTGTATGTGAGAGCCTGCTGAGATGAAGAAATCACTTGTGTATGAAAATAAGCAAAGACCACACATTTTTTTACTACAAAATGTAATGAATACATGTAAATCCTGCATAACTAAAATCACAAACCTATTCCTCAAAAGAATTTAATTTTATATTTATGAGGGGGCCCTTTACTAAAAAGTACATGTAAAAGTACATTTGATGACAATAGCCACTTAGATTCCTGTTAAGAGAAGAAACTTTATCTTTTAATTATGTGCTCTTAGCACTTGAAAAGATGAAAGTTAATATCCGAGATGTTTTTCTGCAACCAAAATTGGTTAAATTTGGCTGCCTTACCCTTTTTTTAAGCTAATGAAACTACAGGTTTGAAAAATGACAAAGCTCTTCAGATGATGCTATTAAAGAAATGTGTGTACTAAGCAAAAATATATAAATAGTGACAAATACACATTACCAATATTATCTTGCAAGGGAGTTATTTTCATCTAACATAGAAAATGTGTTTTATCAGAGAAATGCTTTTATTTTCATTCTAATAATTTGATACAGAAATTAGTAAAGGCATTTTTCTTGTGGTTTTTTTTCTCCCCAAGTAAATACATTGGGTCTATAAATGTACATTTGCTAAGGCCCACGAACGTGAACCTGTGATACTGCAGTACCACATGGGAGGCCTCTGGTTACGGTTTGGTGGTCCTAGTTCCTTTGTTACTCCTGTGAGCGTCAAGAAGAACTGGGCAACTCCCAGTCCCCACCTGTGCTGTGACAGTCCCACATGGCTATAACAGACTGTTGAGCACTTGCCCTTCCCAGGTTCCTCAATGCAGGGGGGTGCATCAGGGCCTCAGTAATAGGGGTATACCTTGGAGGATCCAGCAGTAATCCCCAGAGTACTAGGATTACTAGTACACTGATGGAATTAGTCTTCCTTCCTTATTCCTCCAACATGCAGTACGTAAAAAGGGGAAAAGGAGAAAAAAAAAGCCTTACTTTGTTTTACTTGCCATTTATCGTAAGGAAACTTTAAAGCATTTTTTAGGAAATACTCAAAAGCAAGGTTGGAAAATGTCTTATCTTTCTATAGAAAGCTGGGTACAGTATGTAACTGCGGGAAACACACTACCCCTTTGTGAGCTGTGGAACCCAAAATGTATGGGGATATTTGATGTTTTCAGAAAAAGAAGAAACTATGGTCCAAATTAAATTTTCCAAAGATACCTCACCTTGGTCTGATTTGTCTGACTACTTTTCTTGCTCCACAATGAAAGAGTTCATAAAAATTGTCCAGTGACTTACAAAGAGAGTTTTCTTTTATATGCTAGCTTTGATTCTACGCTAGTAGATATCAGTACTGGAGGTGACAAATCCTAGTTACCCTTTTAATTTATCTTCATTTAAAGACAAAAAGCTCCTTTCAAGTGATATTTCTTTATCATTATTAACCAGTCCTCAAGACTAATCCAAGAAGAATTACTTTCTGTTGACTTAATTATTTTCATTTGAAACACTAACCCATTAGTGCTATCAGAAATTCTCAAACATGCTCATGTTTCAGCTATAGTAAAGTACTCATCCTTATAATTCCTGACAGATTTCATTATAGTGCCATGGCAAATATTACTGAAAGAGCTACCTTGAAAAAGAAGTAAAAAGCTGATCTCAGGGAAAGTGTTTGATTCATTTTCTAAACTCATAAATAGGATTGGTAAATAGCTCAGAAAAATAATGTATCTTGAATTTGTAAGTGCTCAATTAAGACATAAAATGTAATCATTGATTTACGGAATTATATTCATTAACAGAACTATATAGCAAATATATTAAGTTTAGGACAAACAACTCAGCTAGGCCTCTGGTTGAACTGTAGCAGCTCCTGATACAAGGTAGTGATCGTTCATACTCCAAAAACATATTTCTTTTCTATTCCAGAGACTTCTCCCAACTGTCTCACAAAGGCCCATGTGACTAACAATAACATTTAAAGCTTCCTTATAAGTTGGTCCCTTCTCTCTCTCCTACCAGACATATTAGAGAATCCACATTATTGCACACAAATTTTTAAAAACCATTTTTCTTGAAAAATCCTCACTTTAATCTTTATTTTACCCATTTCTTTATTCAGTTAGTATTTCTTGAGTTACTGTTTCATGCCATAATGCTGTACTACATTCTGAGATTAGAACATAGTACCCACCTTCGATTAGGAACACACTTGCTGACATGCTGTAAGAAAATAGGTGTTCCAATGGAAGCGCACATTGTCAGGCAGTTGTCCTGCAGGGGAAGGAGATTGTGTATGACAAAGTGATGCTGTCACCATATTTTAAGTTACTTAAAAACTGCTCTCAAATGGCATGGTTTGGTGAGGCTACTTAAAACATCAATGGCACTAAACTGGAACTGGGCAACACCCTGACTCCAGACTCACATCAATTTGGAGTCACTCTAACATACAAAATCATCAGGTATTGAAAATGTTGCATCTTTGTAGCCTCACAATTAATCTCTAATTCCATGAATTAAAACATAAGGCTCACCTACTAAGGGTTGTTGTCTTTTCTGCTTCTCCAAGTCATAAACCTCAAGTGAATAGAAATTTAAAAGTTGAAGAGCTAATAAAGAGATACATGCCATAAAAAACAAAAATACTTTCTTCTCCTAATTTTAGAAAAGAAAAAGATCTGCAGAAGCATGAAAAAAATAGTATAATGAACCCAGCATACCCATTTAGATCTACCAAACTGTTGACATTTAGCTGTATTTACTGTCTTTATATATGTCTGTATATAAATATACTTAGATATACACACATTTACTTTTGCTGAACCATTTGAAAGTACAAACACTAAAAAAGTTTATAAACCCTTTAGCCCCAAATACTTAGCAGACATCTAAGGATGCCATTCCTCTACATATCCACTAATAACCATTGTACACCTAAGAAAAATCACAATAATGCAATAATATCTAATAAACAGTTCATATTCCAATTTTCCCCACTGCCACAAAGATGTCTTTTATTATTTTGTGTGTCTTTTATATGACATATGATGAAAGACATACAAAAAATACTTGGTTTTTGATCCAGAATCCTCTATTTTAGGCAGGGTATCACCCTGTCACCCAGGCTGGCATGCAGTGGCTTGATCTCAGCTCACTGCAACTTCGACCTTCCTGGCTCAGGTGATTCTCCCACCTCAGTCTCCCAGGAAACTGGGACTACAGGCACATGCCACCATGTGTGGCTAATTTTTTATTTATTTATGGAAATGGAGTTTTGCCATATTGCCCAGGCTGGTCTTGAACTCTTGGGCTCAAGTGGCCCGCTTTGGCCTCCCAAAGTGCTGAGATTACAGGCCTGAGCCACCACGCCCAGGCTCCGTTTAATATTTATACATTGCATTTGGCTGCTTAATTTTTCAATCTAGAATTGTCCTCTTTTCAGGTCTTTGGCTTTTTTTTCTTAAGAATCCAAGGTAATTGCCTTGTAGAATGTTCCTTACTGTGGAATTTTCTAATTGTTTCCTCACAATTTTATTCAGGTAAGCATTTTTTGCAACAACACTATTCTGGTAATGTACAGTTTATGTGACATCACACAAGGAGGCACATTGAGTTTGGTGGTCTGTATGGATGATACTAATACTAAGCTCCAGGTCTCTACATTATAAGGATAAATGTTTAAAGAATGTTTACAGCTCTAGAAATTTCCAGTGGTTATTTTGTTGTTTTTTGTTTGTTTTAACAAATCAGAGCTCTTATCACCACTAGCTTGCCTGTTCATTTACAGTTCTGCAACTTTTTTTTAACCTAGAAAAGCAGCATGGCTGAACTGGGGAAGAAGTATGTTGAACCTGGTTCAAGTTTCATCAGCCTTAAGTCTCTGAAACCCTTATGTTATTGCACACCCTTTAGTCAAGAGTTATCTCTAGGCCAGGCGTGGTGGCTCACACCTGTAATCCCAGCTACTAGGGAGGCTGAGGCGGAATTGCTTGAACCCAAGAGGAAGGGGTTGCAGTGAGCCAAGATAGTGCCATTGCACTCCAGCCTGGGCAATGAGAATGAAACGCCTTGTCCAAAAAAAAAAAAAAAAAAAAGCCATCTCTTCAAGAGTTCTATTCTCTCTCTCACTGTCTCGTGTTTTTAAGCTATGTATGTAGTTCTTTGTGACTTCCAATATAACTTGAACTAACACACCACTAAAATGGAAGGCAAACATTGCCTTTTCCATTACCAAAATATCCTTTTTAGATTTGGAAACTGTTGGCAAAGAGGCAGAAATACAGCAATACTTTATCTTTTTAGTGAGACTCAAATTTGGGCTGAGTTTAGAAACATACTAGACTTCAGAGCATTACCTTTGAGTGTGGTTAAGGATAAGAAGCAGTATATTATTAGCTGACAAAATGAGGAGAGAAACAAAAATAATCATTTCCTTAAATGTGAAGCTTTGATCTTGGTATCTTGGTAGAACTGTGACATCTGCTGGAAAAGCAGTTTAAAGTCATCTTTTTACCACTTAAGAAACTACATTCTATCCCAAACATAATTACACAGAATTTGGTCTTCCATGAAGTGGTAAAAAACAATTCCATCTGGTGGTAGAGCTGGAACTTTTTTTTTTCTAAATTTTTGAGACGGAGTCTTGCTCTCTTGCCAGGCTGGAGTGCACTGGTGCGATCTCGGCTCACTGCATCCGCCACCTCCCGGGTTCAAGCAGTTCTCCTGCCTCAGCCTCCCGAGTAGCTAGGACTACAGGCACATGCCACCATACCCAGCTAAATTTTGTATTTTTAGTAGAGACATTTTGGCCAGGCTGGTCTCAAACTCCTGACCTCAGATGATCTTCCCACCTCGGCCTCCCAAAGTGCTGGGATTACAGGCTTAAGACACCGTGCCCAGCCCAAGCTGGAACTTTTTACACAGCTGCATGCTATTTGTCTGAAGTTGAGCTTTAGAGCCCTTGGTGGTAAATACCTTGATGCCCTGGAAAGGGTTACAGCTGTTGGTCTGAGAGTCTGTTTTTACTTCTGGGCAGTTGAACTCCTGGCCTGGGGGACTCTTACAGTCTGAAGCACTTGGATGAAATTCAAAACTGAGAGCTGTTGACTGCATTTTCTCTTGAATTCTTTCTTTACTATAACAAGTGGAAAATCCCTGATTGGCCAACAATCTTTGACAAGCAAGCCGGTTTTGCTCTTTGTTCCAGCACATGCCTGCATCCAACTCATCTGGGCCTGTCGGTTGGAATTTATTAGCTAAGTGTGCTTTAAAGAACTGTGTAATCCAAGAAGGAATATATCGGTATCTGGTGATCTAGCCCTTTCCCCTTCAATGTAAGACATTGATTTTCATGCCAGTTTAATTTCCCAGTTGGTCAAAAATAGGATGCAAGTAACTGCTAGATCAGGTAAAAGTCCAGGGAGGTTTAAAGCATGTCTATCTGTCTGCAACTAGGCAGATGGCTTTAAAGTGGAAAATAGGCCTTTTGGCTAGAATTATGCTTGTTGGGGATTTTTATTGTTAAGGGTTAGAGCAGAAAATTCTGGAGATGAGACTGAGCAGAACTGCAAGTGAGCTTTTAGTTTTTCTCAATTGCTTTAACTTGAAGCGAGATCAGCATCTCATTTCAAAAGGAGCAGGTCATTTCCACAGTGCTCTCTAGGGCAGCCCAAAGTGGCTTTTTCTTCTTTTTGTAAGGAACACTGCAATTTGAGCAATGGTCTAGAAGAGCAAAACTTTTTGATTGACAGGAAAGTTGTAGCTCATGAAAGTGCTCACTGAGCTCAGAAATTTATTGATAGCCAGGGAAGGAAAGTCTATTGACAGATCTGGAGGTAATCACAAATTAATGAAGAGCTCTATTTAGGCAAGGGAGGCTGATTATTTCTTTCTTGAAAGGCACATGTCCTGGGCTATCTCTGGCAGTGAAATCAATACCATGAAATGGCCCTTTCCTTTCAGTCTTGTTTACTTACAGCACAATGCATTGAGGAGTGCTGAATCAGGTAAGCAAATTCATTGTTTTAGTATATGTGCAAGACAAACCTACTAAAGGCAACTCACAGTTTGGAAGTATGGAAACCCAAATTTACTGAATAAATTAGGGACTTGGCTATTTTAGAAAGCTCTTCTGTCAAAAGATTCTTCCTCTTAGTTATCATTTGGACTAAAGGAATAAGGTAGACTTTTCATTATCTTTTTTTTCCTTAATAGA